TTGATAATCAACAGTCTTTTTGCAGATAAAACAGCCATTAGCAATGCACTTTCATGCGCCGGTTTTGGTTGATCTTTTGGTTGTCCATCCGAATGAAACAGGACGATGGGAATGATGAGTGTAAATTCAAGGCGAAAATAGAGAACTCATAAAGACTGTTGTTGCAAGAATAATGAGTATATGCACGGCCACCAGTTTTTGCGACACAGCCATTCTATTTCGCCTGTCCGCCGAGCTTGGCAATTTGTTTGCAAACGTTTCATCACCAGCCGAGGTGACATCATCAGTGCAGTGATGTGGCCACTTCACAAGCATTGATGATGTCACCTCGGCTGGTGATGTAACGTTTGCAAACAAATCGCCAAGCTCGGCGAACAGGCGAAATAGAATCCAGAAGTTGGATGATTATGAGCTAATCGACGAAAATGAAAACTGGGTCCGAAAAAACACTCAGCCATATTACTCAGTGTCCCTAACCATCGATTACCATATCGGGGTCCCCAGCCAGGGAGCGTAACGAGACCTATGTGGCCCAGGTTTCCTTACCCTCATGTCAAGTCGTAGTTTGACAATCCTTGACCTTCCTCCATACGCTACCTGCCTCCGCGAACAACACTCACATCGGCTACCTATTTGGTGATATGCGTAACACAGGCCCTAACCACCTTAGTCTATGGAGGCTGGCCACTTGCCCCAGTGAACGACCGCATTTACCTAAAGCTCTACGCCCAACCTGAGCATTNCGTGCAATGCTACGTAGACAGCGGTGTTCGAACACCGACAATCTATTTTTATCCTGTTCCCTTAGTGGCCAGGTCTCTGCACCGTAGAGCAGGACTGGCCGAACTGCTGCAGCATACACTCGACCCTTCACAGACAGCCGGATGTAGCGACGGCACCACAAATGTCACAAGTTGGCAAATACCAACCGAGCCTTTGGATATGCGCCGACACTTCATCTGTGATGCGTCCACCAGGTGAGAAATAGCTACCCAGATAGCAAAATTTGTCTACTTCCTCTACTACGTCCTCAGTTAGGGTGAAACTGGGTGCTGGACCAATACAATCTCGTAGCAACATTTTACACTTTGAAGGTGCAAAATGCATACCAAACATAGACTAACATTCGAACCATCCAGAAAAGCTTGCAACTTACCTAGATTTTCATAGTACAATGTCATCTGCATATTCCAGATCAGTCTGCCACTTGGGAGCAAATCAATGCGGTTATCCTCGCACGAGGTTAGGGCTGTTTCAAGAAGTGAATCTATGATAAGTTTAAATGGAAACGGAGATCAACCTTGAGGAATACTACTTTCTGTAGTGAACTTGGGCGTAAGCTTGGAATTGACTTTGGCTGTTAAAATAAAGAGATCGCAAAATTGAAATTAACTTCTCGGGGACCCTCTTCAGAAAAAGACAGCACCAGAGTTTGGAGCGGTCGGTTGAGTCGAAAGCCGCCTTCAGATCCGGGAAGATACGAATGGTGGGTCTATGAAAGAGGTGTGTGTATTCTAGAATTCGACGAAGAGTTAAGATGTGGTTTATACAACCTCGATCAAGTCTAAAACCAGCCTGATTATTACGTGGGCACCGGTCACGTCTGGCGGACAATCGACAGAGTAAAATGACAGCGAGAAGGTTAGAGACAATGTTGCCGGAACTAGTTCCTCCGTGGTTTTCACACGAGGATTTGCCGCCGGCACGATGACCAATTCACACCATTCACTTGAAACATGATTCTTCTCCCATAATGACTGCAAGAGATACGTGAACTTGAATGCTGGGATGACTCACTGTCCCTAAAATCTGATGATGCACCTATTGAGATGACTTATTTACCAAGTAACCTCATTTCAGATGGAGAAATGATATCACCGGGCAGTATTTGCCCATTTGAAGCAGGAATTGGGAGGTCCAGTGTCAATGGAGGCAAACTGAAGTGTGCTTTAAAATGTTCTGCCGATTGGTCAAGACGTCGCAGATGACAAATCAGTGTGCAATCAGACTCCTTAATGACCTTACCTATTTTCCTTGAGGCGGTATTCATAACTGTTCAAAACATTGCGACTACTAACGACAGTCGCATCCTTCTTTATTTCTAAAGTTTTCTACCTACCACTTTTCGCGGTGAATTCGCAGAATTTTTATGAGCTGGTGTTTAAGGGACTTGCGTGCCGTATTATGTGACATTAGAAGGAATGGATTTGCGAGCGTTCAGCAGGGTAAACCAGAACGAGGAAATCCATGGTGCTTGCTTTGATCATGAACAAGAACCCATCGTTGTTTTTATCCATATTTGCATAGCTTCCTTGATTTGCTTCCAGTGTTCATTGAATCCGACGGCTGGGAGTTGAAATGAAAGGCGACAAGAGGGCTCCTCTTCGAAGGCCGATTTGCAACTGTCACTTACATTGTATTGTGAGTATCCCTTTATGGTGTTTGTTCTGCGGTTGTCAACCAGGTGTACGGAGAATCTGGCTCGTAGCAGACCAGTCCGTGTCCATCGGTGTAAGAGCGGCAGTCTACAGTGGATCCCCGTCAGCGGTTGACTGATGGCGATTTGGTCGATTTGAGTTCATTGCCGTGAAAAGGTGGGCAGGTTCGGTGTAATGTGGTCTCGTTTCTTGTGGGAGAAGTGAATGATTGAAAGAACAATCCGTAATACGCGCAAAGTTGAAGTAAACGATCTTCGATGTCCATCCGGTTGGATAGGATTGCGTGTGGGCCGCCTAGGCACCTTTCTAATTCGTCCAAGTATCCCACTTGAGCACTGAGAGCTCCAGCGACCACCATGACGTCCCTTGATTGACACTTTGGAGTAATAGAGAAAGATCTTTGTGGAATTCATCCTTGATTTCAGGTGTACAGCAATCGGTCGACGCATCCCCTGAGAAGACGAGTAAGCACCAACGCTTATTTCTGTAGCTGTTGATCCATACTGAGCTATACAGCGCAAATTCGGTTTGCATTTTGAAGCGCGTATCGAACGAAGCCACAGAACGTGTTAGTCTGTCAAATGTGTTTGGATCGTCGTCCATATATTCATCATCATTATCATCGTACAGCGAAATACAGTGACAGGGATCGGACTTATTTTGAGGGAGTAAGACTAAGGTGAACCTCCGTGGTCAAGACACAGAGTACACAATTAAACTCTGCACACATACAATTTTACGTATTCTGACCTGAGAAGAAACGACAACAAGAACGCTACTGTTGTCGGTTCGCTGCCATATCCTTCAATGTCTCCAACCAATCCTCATATATTAGAAAAGACAGACATATCATTAGCGCTCTCTGAGTCGCATAGATTTTCCCTAGCTGCCCATTCAATCCCAACGTTTCTGGATCTCCAATATTTCGTCTGTGACGAAACTGATCAGGCATAGCGGAATGGGACACCCTTGACGAATACTGCTGCTGGTTCCGAACGATCTGTTCAGCTCGCCGTAGACCCTTACGCTACCATAAGTATGCGAGTAGAGTAACCTTAGTAGGTATATATACTTAAGCGGAATCCCTTTTCTAAGAAGCGAGCCCGTACGGGTTTCGCGGCGTAGTTCGTGGACTTGACGCAGCGTGGACATTTGGTCGATGCAACCGCGACCTGGTCGAAATCCTGCTTGCTGTTCGCGGATATTTGTCTCCCTGAAGGGTGTCAGACGTCGAAGTTTGATGGGGGCTAACAGTTTGGTGACGAATGGTATCAAACTTATTTCACGGTGATTTGCGCAATCGTTGCGAGAGCCCTTGTTAAAAGTTGCAACAATTAGTAATTTGCTCCAGGTTGATGGAATGCGCTCGTGCGACCAGACGCTACGCATTAAATCAGTTATGGACTCTACGAGGTCTCGACTCGCACCTTGAAGAGTGGAAGGAAGCCCGTCGGGTTCTGCTGCTTTTCCTTTCTTCAGGACTTAGACGAAAGATTGTAATTCTGCTTCTGTGGGAGGTTCAAATGACACTGACAATGGAGTCTCAGCTATAACAGACGGGATAGTCTGGTTAGCGCCAGGCCAGCTGAACGGTCAAGCCGTTGTTTCCTATTGTTTCACCAATTTGAGTTCGCCGACTCCAGCGGTGGTTATCAGTTGGAGCAATTTTTGGCTATCACTTCCATCTCGCTAGCCACTGTTACCCACAGTCCCTCTTGAGGCCACTCATGAGCTGACATTGCAGACACCACCTATCCCTGCTTTGATCCCGGGCAGTCACGATTTGCCAGTTTTTCTTAATGTTACTGGTTCATCAGATATCAAACGCCTCGGATGGGCTTCAGGTTCAGATCCACAAGTTACGCTCGCTACAGAGTGCGTTGCTCATCCAATCCGATGCAATTCTTCTTCCACACTACCACGCTGCAGCGCGCTTATCTCATACCCAAGTTTTGCTAGATAACGTGCACGAACGGCTAGGGTTTTCTGCGATTGATGCGTTGGAGAGTGAGCTGCATCAAAATTAATGCACGACAGTTGGCCCCTCCACAGGGAAGATGTACGTGTCTTTGACCACAATTGTCTTCTTTGCATCACCAGAATACGTTGGCTACAGCTAAACACCAACGAGGTTCACCGGAGATGGTTTGCCTCGGATGATCTTGGTCGTCCTCAGAGTGCCGTGCCGTGCTCTAGACTCCCAGGTTGGGGTCCCAAGGACAGCGAATATCGACGGCTTGAGAGACTAGCAGATATGGCTAATGACCGGCGTCAATGGCGAACCTGTCATGAGACTTATTCGTTGATTTATATTTAAACCCTTTTCACATCTCTTTATTCATATGATGTGGCACATTTGTCAATTCTGTGTTATATATATATATATATATAAACCAAAAGTTTGGCATAACAAATAAATCGACAATAACTCTAGTTGGGTTAATGACCAATTCTGTCTCTGCAGCAGATTACAGGGGAATTCATAAATACATTTTTTTGCGAAGAGAAAATCAGTGTAAATCACAGAGACAAATAACGGATTAGAAGAAAAAGCATACGTACCACGAGGAGACTGCCCGCCCGGTGATGTATTGGAGACGAGCTGATGATGGGACTGGCTCCTGAGGAGGATGGAGTTGAGGAAGACGATGACGAAGAAGAATTAACCGACAAAGATGTACGGGTCCCGGTGAGGAACGCCAATTCTGGACCACGTTCAGCTTCGAGCGTCAAAACCATCGGATCAGTGTTTGCGACCGCCGTATTCTCCAGTGTTGACCGTACCGGTGTTGTAGCTATGGGTGTGACCGGACTGACTAAAATTGCCCCGGTTCCGGGAACGGGCGCTGGCAGCTGGATGGTAAGTGCACCTGGAGTAGTCAGAGATCCGCGCACATTCCGGTCCGTGAATAAGGAGCTTTCTGAGGGAAGGCTGGAAGTGACGGCAGTGGTGGTTGAAGCACCAACGGGAGTACTTGAATTGGAAGTTTTCGTTTCATAGAACGATGGAGGTAACAAACATAAATCTGCTTCATCTGACAGAAGCCATTCCAGCACACAACACTGAGATGTATTCGATGCTCGACGACTGGCTGGTGGTGGTTGCAAATCTAGCATGGGAGCCAATTGGAGATTAGGCATTGGCAAGGTTGCAGCGGAGGAGCTAATACCAGGGTTGCTCGGGCCATCAGAACCACTACCAATAGCATTGATCGGGACTGTGGTCGTGGTGAAGACGCAGGAGGTACTCCCCAAATCAGCCGTAAAACCCTAAGAGAAAGGACAAAAGTTAAAGGAGAAGTTCATCATGTTGCCAGAAGGAAAATGAAAGAAAGAATACCGAATATTTACCGTTTTCATTCAGGAGCAGAGTGTACATATTCATTACCTTCTCCCGCGCACATACACAAATAAGCGCCTATTTCACGGGTCTTCTACGTAAGGATTTCATTACTTCTGCGACCGGTCTATCACAATACAATAGAATATCAAATAGGAACACAGAGTATCCAAATAAATACAGTATCCCATAAAGAGTAAAAAGGTACGTGTGAACAAGGAAATGAAATGAATCTATGGTTGGTTGCGCACCAGTACACTAGAAGTGATAAACTGCGAACAAGCAGAGCTGAATGCTACCAGGCGCGTCCACGGGTTGTGGATAGGGAGATAAGTTCACCGAAGAAGACTAGCTGTGAATAAGTTGTGGCAACAAATAAGTAGTTGTGGACAAACAGTGACGGTACGACGAGGGTGTGGTGGGTTTCCGGCTGATCACCTGCGACTTGGATAGGTTGGGTGGTACTCGATGGATTATCCAATCATCGAACTGTCACATGCGGCTCAATGAACTCGCACGCATGTGTCAACAGCCACGTTCCGATAACTGCTTCGAAAGTACAAAGCTAAATCAAGATAGCATCGTTTGGTTTCCCGGAATACGGTGAGCAGCAGCTTCACACAAGCATGTGAAAACGTCCTGACAGGCCGGGTGGATGAGATAACAGTAGAAGGTGGCTTGAATACAAGCACTAGTGCGAAGGACCCTGCTGCATTGTATATCACACTTAGTTAAGTAAGGACAGGAGTTACACCATTAAAGAAAAGGCTGAGCAATGTTGAGGTGGTTAGTCGCACCAAATGAAACTTCATGAACTATTAATTGAGCCAGCAATATTTTCGTTGGAGATAACTGTGGTGAAACAAAGTAACATGGTTTAGTAACTCTGTGTTACTAGTGATGGTGACAGCAATGTTTGGTTGAAGACCAGTTCATAATTTATCAGAGCACAAGTAACAACAAAAGCACATGCGGAAAGAAGAGAGACGACAGTAGCATAACAAAATGTAGCATATGGTTGGTTAGTGGACTGGCATACTTTGCAGTCCTGAGTTTTGTTCGGTTCCGAAACAACCACGGGCAGACCAGACACCGTTAAATGCGATCCGGTGATAAGTGCCTGAGAAGATACAGTATTGATCATAGTACTGACCGCGGTAGTAGTTGTGTTCATCACGACTGCGGAGGTTCGCGATAACGCCGGATGAGCTGGACTGGATATGGCGTTGTGTGTTCGAGGTTCGGTAGAATCAGTTGGTAAACTGCTCGCAGTACACACATTCAATGGCGTTCCTGATTGAGAAAAAACAAATTAATGATGCATAAATGGATGAAAAGAAGCGAAATAGATATGTATGAAGAATTGGCAATGCCATCTGTCGTTGTTTGCGACATACTTCTGATGAACATAAACTTTCACTGTTGTTTACTATATCAAGTGTCAACGCAGTGGAAAACGATGTTTACATGACAGCCGAAACACAACAGTCAATTCACGTCACATACGGAGTCTATTATTGCCGATGCAATCCGGATACCGATAATGATGGTTAACGGTTCGATCTTCCGTGTACGTTCGAAGAGTGACTGTGTGAACCGTTTGCATTCTTTGAATGGGGCCATAATTTCTCACTTTATCCGCTGCCCCCTTTAAATTAGGATATAACTATGCTTAGTCTTTGCGGAAATTAAACTGATCATTCAAAATGGAAAACAAATTACAGTTGCTGAATTCCTTACCCAATTTCGATGGTTATCAGTACGTCAAATTGTTATGTTTATTGCAATCCCAGATAAGCAGCCCAAATTTTGTCCTAATCCTACTCTTAACCTGATCGGTCAATTGGTTTTTCTCAGAGTTTATATTGCGCAGAGGTGCCCGGGCACAGATTTTATCACGGCACAATAGCAGTGGCTAGTGCCGCACTGATGACATTGAATAAAAACGGAGATGATGGAGCCGTTGCGGGGTGTTCGGGAACACAATTAATACACACGCACAAAAGGACCGTTACAAGCTGGAAACGGTTAGTCACAAACTAGAATGTGATATATTGGATTATTATTATTATTATATTATATTGTTACCACGGGATGAATTATTCAAATTGAGTTTCAAGAGGTCATTAAACGTTTTTTGTAGAATGTCACTTAATGGACACCGTTTTGGAGAAACTGTCAGGATACATCAATCTGCCGGTAACGAGTAACCTAGGAAGGATATCTATTTAATTCACGATGAAGTATTCCAAACAGCAGATGAGCGAAATACGACAAGCGTAAATGATTGCCGTAGAGTGACGTAGGGCGGTGGTGGCCAAGATCACCGACATGTGACCTGGGAGTCCAGGGTTCGTACCGCTCCACCGCCGCCCGTCTTCCTTAATACTGTATTGTCAAGACAGCTTTTGTATGGCCGCGGCCTCCCTTCCTGAATGTTGACTGTACATTTGTATATTCAGTAAAATAAAAAAGTAAAAATACATAATTATTATTGTTAGTTGGGGAAATAGTTTATTAATGTCTTCCTCCGCCGACCGGCAACGGCAGACAGATCAATACTGCAGTTCAAATAGTCCGAGGATCATTTCAAGATGTTCGGGTATCAATCCAAGTTGCCCCACCTTCCATTCGATTTGATTAAGCAGCAAATCAATATTTCTCGCCATCATTTCAAGTTGACCCTTTGTTATCACCCGTGCTGTCCGGCCCAACAACTGTTGAAGTCTCCTAGCCATATACGGATGAACATTTCGCAATCTCCAGTTGGAGCGCGAAGGGGACAGTTGTGAGACATGCCTCGGTCACACACGCCTCAATTCCCGTGGCATGCTACGGTTATGCTGACGCATGGGTGGCCGTAACACAGATAAAATATGATCTGCAAGCGGAACACAAACTGGATATTATTCTGGGACAGCAATGACGCGTAGTATATCGAACGAACATGACAAAATGGTGCATTAGTGCAGCCTGTTGAGGTGTAGCTCATGAATCCCATTGCAACCTCATGCGATGGGCGTTAGCATGGGCTCAAACGTTGACCGCATATCATCCACTGATGTGAGCGGAGCATGCGGCTTTTCAGGAGGGAGGGGAAAACAGACACAGACACACGTAAGCGTACTATAGCAAGGTGAACAACCCTGTCATGGGAATTGAGGCGTGTGTGACCAAGGCACGTCTCACAACCATCGTCCTCGCGCTTTGACTGGAGATCCACACATGAGCCTGGCCGCACTGATGGCGGTAAGCAGCTCTGCTGTCATCTGGTTCAATACCACGCCTAAACTATCGGGGCCTTATGCAGTTCGCCACTCCAATTCCCGGGGGTTAGGTTGCCGGTTGCCACCACTGAGCAGCAGGTCCTAGTGACTATGGGGGTCGCCCCGTTTGCTGTTCAGCGCACTTGGGTGCACAATAAACAAACGAGGCGGCTTGAAACGGCATTCCAACAACATGATTTGCAAAATGTCCCCAATGGATTGTGGCTTTGACAAACTGCCCCGCTGTCCTGCGTGTCAAACATTGGGAAGTCAAAGGCTCCGACTGCTAACTACTCAAAGGATTTTACTTGCTTTCACCCAGGGGGACCTAACAGTATTACGCCCACGAGCAAATAATTGAACTATTTTGTTATGCTCAGGGTAGATCGGCATCACCTAATGAATACTAGAAGCCTGAAACACAGAAATGGGGCCATTGGTTTTGCACGTGCCGCAAGCAGGGATTGATATAAATGGTGACGATAAAAAATTCATCCAAGGAGGACTAAATAATTTATATTTCATCGGACGCGATATAAGGAGAAACTAAATCCCATTCAAGAGGCAACGTAGGATTATGCTATGGGATGTGCTTGCCACAACTGTTTTTGGTCAGTTGGTAATCAGTCACGAGAAACAAAATGCAATCCCCTTTAAAAGTAGGATTGTCTTTTGTTGATCAACACAAAAGAGACGGTGGAAAAGCATTTATCGATAGGTAACGACACAATACGCACGTCACAAAACACACTACAGTAGAATCTTTACGTTTTTACACAATAAACGTTTTGCAGTAGTCCGCTTATACTGAATGTCTCAAACCAATTGTCATTGTAGACAATGAATGGAGAAATTTCTGCGTCCCTATATTTTTTCCGCACCTACAGATATTCGGTCAGCTTTATTGGACGAAGAGATTGTTCGAAGCCGGTTTGCAATGACATTTTGCAAAAGTCTCATTTCATCCTCAATCAACCTGGTCGATCAACTCCTTCTCCTAGAGAAATCGCCAGCCGTCGTCTCCTCGTGGTTTTCCCTTCAACAATCTCGCCACTCTATTAAAAAGTTTACTAAAACAGTTAGTGTAATTTCCAATTTGTGCTGTCCCACGGTAAAAATTTTTTCACACTGCTAGAGTGTTTCCGTTGCTAAAAGCTGTTGGAAGCGTTTAAGACAAACCAAAAAAACCACTGCCAAACAGCTTTCCCGGAAAATCGGAGCGGAGACCAAGGGATTCAATGCTTCCTTCGCAAAATAAGTCTTGGGGTTCCGAAATTGAACAGTGTTGTGGCAAGGAATCAAATTGCTGTGCGAACACGAGCAACGATGAACAAACACAACTATTGATGTGGACAGCCCCAATGCTGCCGTCATTTATCGCTTAAACGATTTTGTGTTTCCATACACGAAAAAACTGCCTATTCACCATTGACCCTATTACCCATAGAGAAGTCCATCATCTAAAAAGTACGAAAATCACAAGTGCAGTTAGCCCATATCGTCTATTCTCGTCTATACTCAAACACGGTACTGGTTCCATCATAGCGATTTCCGTATAATAATGCATCTATATGAACATGTTCAATCTCTGATTTCCGAAGACCTTTCATGATTTTTAGAGTAGCAAGCTTTGATAAGCCCATTCGATTGTTAAGAGGCACCAGGCTTGCTACTCTAAAATTGATTGAGCCATTCACACAAGGTGATGACCGTCGACCATGTAGCTCAGTGGTAAAGGTTTGAAGTCCCAACTTGAATGTTCCTGTCCTGACAAGGACACAAAAAGTACGCACTGCTGACGAGTCCCAAAAAGGGCGAAATAGCTGTCCAGTGCTCTTTGTCGGTTATCACAAACATTTCCATCACATGTAAAACCTTTACCATTGTCTTCATTTAATTTCAATCCAAACACTTTCGTCCCATTACCATCACTTCCTCTGGACAGGCTGAGGAATCTAAGCAGCATGGTGGTCATTCAGACATCCCCAGGAAGCTTGAACAGTATGTTGACCCGGAAGCTTGAGATGATACCGTGACAGCCTGAGGCACTTTTGTGTCAGTGCGATAAATCCACCCAGGACGAATGGTTTACATCCAAGTAAAACAACAGAAAAATCATATAAGGATTTACAAAGCTCTGGGAAGCATTCATACACACACAAGAAAAACGGAACCACACTTACCCTGAGGACAGACAACCTGAGGAAATTGGGTCACGGTGGCATAACTGGCTATAGATGTAGAGGTGGGGATAGTCAAGGTCGAATTGGCCAGAACTATACATGAGTTTGAATCGCGAGTCGAGCCCGACGGGGAAACGTGGCTAACAGGAGCGGAGAGAGTTGCGGTAGAAACAGCACTAGCGGTAGTGGCAGCGGATACCCGATTTAAATTGACCAACGCATTTGGACCGAGGTATTGGCGCACGACCTGGCGCACACGACGAGCAAAATGTTCACGTAAAGTGACCGCGTTTGATGAAGGCCTCGGACACAGAGTAGCAGATCCGATCACCGCGGTAGTGGTGGTCGTTATCAAAGAAGATATTGGAGAAGAACCAGTGACAACCGCACTCCTGGCTAATGACGAAGCACTGTCAACAGAACCAGCTCCACGAATAGATCCCACGGATTTGTTTGAACCATAGATTTCTTGCCAGATCTGACGAATACGTTGAATCGCCTCCGGAGGGAGTAGATTTTGCAAACGCATGATTCTAGAGGAGGAAGCGGAAAGGACAACAGGAACAAGTGAATTTCAGCAATATTTATTCCAGGAATAAATGAAATTTTTTGTTCATCTCCAGTGTTTGTTTCTCCGTTTTGTGTTTGGTAACCGGAACAATCAAATAGCCTGACTCGCATGGCTCAGCATCAGTGTTTTAAGACAGTATTTCATTGAAGACCGTTGTCCACTTGGTAGAACCTTAAACCCTCGACGTGCGATTCGCAAGTGCAAGATGCCCTTTTCACCCGATGACCAGAGTGAACAGGGTGCCAGCGGCCCAACTGCATGACCCATTTTGAGAGATTCGAAACCAGGCTTACCCTGTTCCCGGGAACAGCCAGCTTCCAGTGATTCGTATGCCAAGATAAAGCGACGGCCTTACTTAACTTGCCACAACTCCGGATACTGGCTCATCTTTCTGTCTCGTGGCCGATAAGGAACCAGCTTAATATGTGTAACTAAGCATAGAGTAAACAACTTTTCACAAAGAAGCTCGGTGAAATGAATCAACAAGCAGTCTGTTTTTGGACTACGGCCAACAATTATTTTCATCATGATACCACGAGAATAAGCTATCTACTTTTGCAGGAAGAAAAGTGACGGCTGTTTTGTGTAAATGCAACCCGAAAAAGCAAAAGTACAGTTAATTGGGACAGACAAAAGTAATTTTATTCAAGCTAAATTCGATCTACCCCAAAAAGTCTAGACTGGTCAATAGGATTCACCGGAAAACCGGAACAGACGGACTGACGGCACCGTGAGGAAAATGGGACGCGAATCGGGCAATCGGTCGGTCGGTTAGACAGAAACACGTGAAAATGGATCGATAGGCAAAACCACACGAAAATATAGAAATTTCAGCCTAAGTGACTAACGGAGACTGATTAATAGATGGACGGACGGGCGGGATGAAGGGTTGACCATCCGTGAAGAATCTAGTCATGTGAACAGCGCACAACAAATTAACAACAAAACAAATCAAACGCGATTCAGGACAAAGACCAAACATGAAGAGCCAGAGTGGTAAACACAAATAATCGAGACTGTAAAAACCAATTAGTCGATGGACGATTTTTTTCACCAAGATCATTGTCAAAACTATCATAGCCGAAATGGTCGATGATGATGCTAACCTTCATATGACGTTCAATGGAACTCTAAGTCCAAATATTTTAATACAAAATATCAGCGAATAAGCACGATAGTTAGCAAACAATGTCAACATAGGCTACCAGGCTAATTAAAAACACGAACACACAGGGAGCGACTAATACAACTACAAAAAAATTCAGTCAACATGAGCATCATATATTGAGTTCGGAAGTAGCTTCTCTGAAACGCAGGTGAGAGGTGTGTTAATAGCTTGCTATCAGTGAACTGACCACGGAATGAGCGAATCAGAGAGCGGAAAACGGACACCATAAGAGAAGCGAATGAAGGGAACTTCTATTTAATTTACATTATTAAAAGCGCTATCAAAGTTTCTGAAACCTATGGGTGAATAAAATGAGTCGAAGAAGGTGGGCTTTTGACGGTGTGGCGCTAAGGCTGTCGTTTTGTTCACAAGTCGTTAAATAGATCAAAGTAGAGTAATTAAGAATTTATGACCTATGGTAAAACATGTCAGATGTCTAAATCCATCGTGAATCTGAAGTGATGATTTCAATGCGCATGGCAAGTTTCAGTTTTCAGTTTGAACAACCATTACCACGCACATTCGAGCGCCGGTTTTGGTTGCTGTCTTTTGGCTGCCCAATGGGATGAAGAACAGGAGAAAAAAAGGAAAGTTGAAAGTGGAGTGGAAAAGAAATGGAGAAGTTCAGTGGTCTAAGGTCGCAAAGAAATTGAGGAGATGCACGAACGCCACTGTTTACGACACCCAGCCATATCGCTCAGTGTCTCTAAC